TGCCATTTAGTAATTTTCATTAGCTTGACAAGTTATAATTTAGTTATATGTTAATGTACATTATACACCCCAACCATAGCAAATACTGCCAAGACAGTGCACAGCAGTTGATAACCCACCCACCCATTTATATACACACACAACATGACTACACACACACACACACAACCTATAAACCACTATCACCACATAACTGTACATTCAGTAGCTGGGAGCCTTAGAATTGATTTCAAAACAGGACTCATGCTTTCCTGAAAACTTATTCTTATAATCATTTTGCAAGATTACTACTTTATATTTGAGAACTTAGACAACCACTGCACTACCATGCATGCAGCGGCACCCAGCAAACAGGAAGCCATGGTGCTGTACTAGTCCCATCAGACCTTTCCCCCACAGGTTAAAACAAAATAACTCTATTTATCTCTATTAGCAATTCCATTTAATGAATGAAGTAAAGTCTATTTTATAGTCATAATTGCTTGTCTTTATTCATTTTCATTCTCCTATGAGCCATGCTCTCTTCTAGCTTTCTGTTTCACAGATGAAATGGAATCACTCGACCCTAGCGGTCCTCTGCTGTTAGGGGCAAGAAGAGTGGACGTCACCCCAATCCCCTCAACAACAGAGGGCTGCTGCATACTGCCAACTCATACTCAAAACAGAAATTAAATTATTAAATAGCAATGTAGCGAGAAACATGTTGCTAGAATAGCTCAATGCTTTGTATGCGAGCAGGTATCTTATGTATGTAATAAAAATCCTTGGATCATTAAAAACAGACAGGTAAAAAGAAAGACTAGATTGGAATTTGTACCCAGATTTTAGGACTCTTGAAGACCATGAGTATGGTTCAAATACTATGGGCTTTTTGAACAACTACAATTGTACATAAACAAGGTGCATGCTGGTCTAGGTTGGGTAGAAACACCAATTCTCTTCATGAATATAAAAAGCCCAGGGGATGTTCCATGGTGTGCTACAACATACACGTATGTCCTAAAGATAGCAGTGCTTAGGTTTATAGAGTGCAGACACTCAATCCATTAAAACAGTACTAATTTCATTTTTGCACTAAATAGTACAAAATAGTGCAATTGTCTATTGTTTTCTATATTTTCGTCAGTGCTATTCAGCACAACTTGCTGTTAGTTATGTAAATGTAGTACTGTTTTATGTATATAATGTTTGCACTCTACAAGTATTAAAGTCATTGTGCATGGTGATGGAACATTAAAGTACTCTGTGAAGAACAGTAAACTATTCTCATGGGTCTCACTGTATTCATGTATGAAAATGGGAGCAGACCTGGCATAGCTCTCCAATGGACCAAAATAGCGCAAGGGAGAGGAAAGAGGAGAAAAAGAAAATAAACAGAGCAATTGCAAGCGCACTAAATACCATTCAGCCTAGGCAGGTTTGAAGTGAAATGAAAAGTATGCTAAGCATTTTTTCATACATTTAGAAATACAAGTGAGAATGTGGAGAAAGGTTTATTAATTCACTGCCTGAGAGCAGACTGCATGAGTATAAAGTAGTAACTTGATACTGAACACTACACCTAGTGGTTTTTCAATAACACGGTACACTTGTGATTCAAAGTAGATTTTGGTGGATGTCAGTCAAAGTTACCGTGGCGGGAAAAAAAAAAAAGGTTTTTGGAGGGTAATGCAAGAGAGTTGCCAACACCTTGTTGAAAACACCTTGTTTGACATCTACCAAAAACCAATTTCAAATTGTTGCAGCAGCAAATTTAATTGATTCTGTATTTTAGTGAAATGAGAGTGGACCAATCATGGAGTGACAGCCAATCAGATTGCACATGTATATATCCAATAATAAACTTGTACACTCATGCATAGACTTCTCTAGAGCATACTGTAGTAACACTATAAGACACCTGGACAAGCATTAGACTCATCTCTCTAGAAATTAATTAAACTGATAAAGATAAAACCAAACAGGATCTGCTAATTGTAGATCCTTTTGATTCAACTCTCAAAATATTCTGCGCTCATAATTTCCATTTTATTTAATATTACACACACTGATTGAATTGCATTGTAACTTTTAAGTTCATTTAATGGACTTGAGAAATCACTGTCTGTTTGTACATGTAGGTCATTTATGCAGGACTTCTTAAGTCTTAAATTTTAAAATTATGGATGCTATATGATGGCAAGCCAGCGCCATAACATTCATGTAAGATTGGTGACAAACACGTTTGATAATGCCAAAAATAGATCGACAAATCACTGCCATGCTTGTAATGATATAATTAGTGGCAAGATACATAAATAAAGCTTGTATTTAGTAACCTGATGCCACGTTAGTGAAAAATGAAAAGTCATTACCAAATGGACTGATGGGCGTTTCTGGGACAGATGGTCCAAAGAATACGTCGTCAGCAGTTAGTTTGGCCCCAATGTTCCAGGGTTCTGATGTACTTCGTAGAATCTTTGGAAGAGCTCTATGTATAGTTTCAAGGGTTGCTAGAATCTACAATGAAAACAGAGAGGAAAATATTGGTCTCTCCCTTGATTCAAGGATTTTTCTCCTATTTCTACGGTTTTTTCCCCTCCGCAAAACCTTATAACTATCATTCTAAATTCCAATTTAATCTGTGAATTAGCTGTGCCCTGACTTCCATCAGCCCAGAGGTTGTTTCAGGGTTCGATCTGTGAGTTAGCCATGCCCTGATTTTGATCAGCCCAAAGGGTGTTTCAGGGTTCGATCTGTGAGTTAGCCATACGCTGACTTTGATAACTTGCCCAGAGGCTGTTTCAGGGTATCGAAAAAAATTTGAAATTTAAGAGAAAAACCCTAATGGGAGAAAACAATGCAAGTCATAAACAACCCCAATTCACATCATTGTAGTGTGTGCAGAGATCAAACCAGTAACTTACCTGGGGGAAAGCAGGCCGTTCTTCTCTTGAAAATCGTATGCATTCCAAGCAATGTGTCTTGAGAGACTTGGGGATATCTTTTCTTACTTTCCTCATGTCTGGTTTCAAGTACCCTCTTCCAGCCATGTAAAGTATCTAGAAATGGAAGACATTTTGTAATATGCACAACAATTACTACAGTATGCGTATACAACTAATAAGTGAGCATTCATAAGTGATGGGGTGAAGTGGCAATGGCCGATTGCAATGTTACATTTTGAAATAATATTTTGGAAAGGCCTCCCCACTCAAACAATATATCTTCAGCACTAAGCCTGCATACACTGGAGCTTTAAGAGTTGTCAATATCAAAACTGACATGTAAGGAAGTGATCTGCATTCATTAGCCTGTATTACGTACCTGGTCCTTATTGCCAATATGAACATACGGCAGTGAACTAGAGATCAATTCATATATGACGATACCAAACGCATACACATCAGAATAGATAGAGTATGTATTAGGGTCTGTCATTCTTATCACTTCTGGAGCCTGAAAAAAGAACATGGGAATTTTAAGAAATTATATGCCTTATATGGAGAATTGCGTCAGGACAGGTGTACGTCTTTAATCTTTAAACAAACACTCTGAAAACAATAAGAACTATATATGCTAGGATTGTCATYGATTTCTATATAAAGATAGCTGTAATGACTGAACTCAATACGAAGCATTCAATAAGCACTTTTTGCTAGGGTTTGTAAATTGTACTTCTGAGAGAGGATTAAATTCCAGGAGCTTTGCAAGGTATGAATATAAAAACTCCAGGACCCATTACTCGCAAATACACCAGTTACAAATAAATCATTATTTATTGTCCCCAGGGCACTCTACTGCAGTAATTCAGTTGCGTTTGCAAGGAATTCCAAGAGCAGTAAAAATTGCTATAGTTTTTAACGCAGTTTTCTTACACTTCTTTGCCGAGCCTGTTGTGCATGTGGATGGTGTAAGCACCACTTTGACCAATCAGAGCATGCATAGCAAAGTGACTAGTATATATTAATAGTGTTATGTATATATATATACCCACCATCCATAGAATGGAACCAGAGGGCTGTTCCGCATATTCACTACCACTCCATCTTGTTTTGATGGTGGCTAAACCAAAATCTCCTATTTTTACGGTCAAGTCCTCTTGTAAGAAGATATCTGTTTGCTGGTTAAAGAAAAACTAAAATACTACAATGCTACGGCAGAGATAATCAGAGTGTGTAGAACATGTAAGAATACTGGTTTACCAGAATATCGATTCTTTAATTACCGTAATCATTGAAATTATCATATATACACTACATCAGCAGCAGCAGCAGCACCAGCGCATTATCTTTATCATCACAATCATCTACATCCTGGGTGTCAATGACATTGTCACCAATCATCATCATCATCATCACCATTACAATCATCTTGTATCATCACATCATCATCATCAACACATCGCTATCAACCCATCACCACAATCACATATTCAACCTTATCACAACCATCATCATAATCATCACTATCACTGTCACCATCATCAATCATCAAAACAGTTTGCATTATAATAAAAGGATACTGTTAGACTTGAGGTCCCGATGAATGATATTTTTAGCATGGAGATAGCTGCAACACAAAATCAACCACTGGTCAATAAAAAAATATCTAATTATCTATTTGAACACTTCATCTAACATTGTTCTACTCACTCCATGCCTTGTGCAGTCTGTCTAGCAATGTCAATCAAGTTTATTACTTCAAACTTTGTCTCCTGTACATGAAGATGACGATATAAACTGGAACCCTCGCACCATTGCGTTACAATAGCGAGCTTAGGTTTTGACATACAACCCATGAATAGCAGTACATTAACATGACGGGTTTTCCTACAAAATACAATAGAATTATCATTAGAAGACACCTTCATTCACTTATACATTCCATGCATGAAGGGGGTCAACAAAATTTTTACAATGTTTTGGGAAGCTTCAAGAGGAGTGGAGGGGTCGAAGTTTAGCAAAGGGGGATGGGGGAATTCTAATTTTTAGCTTTGGGACTTGCTTACTGACAGAGTGAATGAGAGATTGATGTGATATAAATGGATGTGTTAATTAAGAGAGGATCAAGAATTTATGGTCAATATCTTACCGTAACACTGATACYTCATTTTTAAAAGCTTGTAGCTGCTGCGGCGTGGGGTCAGACACGTTAAGAGTTTTGACAGCTACAGCACCTGTAAATAATTCATTTAATATTTAAATATTCAAATAAATTCATGCTTAAATATTTTGTTTCTTGCCAAGAATGAATGTCAGTTTGACTGACGCTTTTCAGAAACTGATTCCTTGAGTTTATCCTTATTTTCGAAGGGTGGGCCTCAATTCTCTGTGCCTAAAAAGCCAGACTCCCATAGTTGATGAATTTAAAAGTGCAGCTTGTTCCTATGAAAAAAGGAAAACTAAAAAATCCCAAGTAAAAACCTCCAAACACATGCAGGACAGAAACTATAATACAGTATCTACTCGCAGATATTGCTGGATCTGAGGATTGAACCAAGATGGCTGTTTTCCAAATATCCCTTGATTCAAGGTTTTTTCTGGGTTCTCCAATTTTCCTTCCTCTACAAAACCTGGACTGGGTTTGTCATGCCCTGACTTTGATCRACGCAGAGGCTGTTTCAGGGTATCAATAAAATTTGAAGTTTTTCCTAATGTTCGACAAAGACCAATCAGACGTCTGCATGATAATGTCTTGTTTAACTCACCATGCCAGTTGCCCTTGTAGACAGTCCCATAAGATCCTGATCCTATTCTTGGACCCATCTGTACCTCACCCTCTGGGATTTCCCAGTCGTCTGTAGAGTTGGCTCTTTGTCTCTATAAACAAAACAATGAACATTGAGGTTCCAAATCCTTGTAAGAAAAACTTAAACAATAACATTAGTTCAACAGTATATCCATCAACCATTCAGTTTCATTGGTAATGTTGTTGGGTGGTCAAGCACAATAAATCCAACTCATATGCTTTTCCACTCAAATCTTGACAGTCCATACCTGTTTTCTGGTCGACTCTTGATCTGGAGAAGACTTTGCTCTACCTCTTGGCCACCGAAGGTTCGATGTTGCACCTTTCTGAGGGCTTGGAGGCTGATCACTAAATGCACTACCATTAACTAGACTAGGATTGTGGTCCATTTTACGTGGATGAATATCATTGACGTTCTTGTCAAACAAGTCTGACACATGCGGGTGTGTCCTCTCGCTCATGTGTCGTGTTTTCAGCATCCGACTTCCTTCACCTGCTATTAATAATTATTTATTAATAATGTATTAATCTAAGTATAAAGAGTAAAGGAATTTTAATAGACATTAAATTATTTTTAAAAAAAGGTTGGCAAAGGTTTTGTTGCGTGTTGAATATTGCATGTCGCATTCCGAGTCCAAAATGCACTATGTTTGATGCAAATGCAATTGGCAAAAGATCACAAAAATATGGATTTTACCAAACTATGTCTGCATGTTTTTTTGTTATGTTTAGCTCTGTGCTGACATAATAAACATATGAGTAAAATATGTTTCAAATTTGATAAGCAACATGCAGCATAGGACAAAACCTTCACCAAACATCTTTGAAATAGCTGTATATAAGCTGTATTTACTATACCTGAGATGGTTGCTACTTGCTGTCGAGAAGAAGCTGTACGGAAGGCACCCTAGAAAATAGCACACATCAACAGTCATAAAAGTGATGTATCAGAAACATAAAGTCAAACCCCACACCCTATTAATCAGTAAATCTCCATAGAAATAGCGTGGCAGTATTAGGGTGGTTGATTCTAGAGTATCACTGGGACAAAACAAGTGTCTGTAATAACAGGGTGTCCATATTACAAGTAAGGAGCAGATCCTGGTATCAGTGAAATGGAAAGCTGGAAAACTTTGCATTAAAGTAAAAAATATAGGGGCCAGAAAATGTCAGCGTTAGAGGAGGATCTATGACTAACCAATAAAAATCATGGGAAGCACAGGTGGCATAGCAGTGTGAGCACTTGCCTCTCATCAATGCAACCCGAGTTCGAGTCCCGCAGGGTTTGGTGTTGTATATGAGTAGAGTTGTTTGTTGGTTCTCTCCTGTGCTTTGAGGGTTTTCCGGGTTCTCCGGTTTTCCTCCCTCCGCAAAAATCAACTCCTAACTACCAATTGAGGGCCACAGGTTTGTTAGCCACTGGCTATTAAGTGCTACCCTCGTGAAAAAAGGACATTTAATAATCAACCCTTATCTTAGGCCAACCCCTAAATCCACCTACACAAGATAGTGCATGTTATAATTGAGAAAATTTCCCTGTCTTACACTTTACACCCACCTCTAAAAACAGCTCTCCTCCCACTGAATTTAGACAGACATTAGGYGCAGATATAGAGCGTTCTCTAGCTATGGGTGGGTGTCCATTACTCGGCTCCTCTGGATCAGCGAATTCGTTGTGTCTTGCTAACAACCTTGATTAAATCAGATACCATAGTGTTAAGTGCATAATACTGTTTGTGCAGCATAAATATGATATCATGCTCCATGCAGTACCTACAAGTACACACTGGGCTTATACTGTTCTAACTACTTTTTACTGCATAACTATTAGAAAAAGTTTAGGAAATTTTTGGGCAATATTTTAATTCAGGTTTAAATTTACATGTAAAAATGATTATGATGATTAATTGTTTATGAGACAGTGCAGATGACTGGAAATTCTTGCAAGAAAAAAATATGTATTGATAAAGAATTGTGTAAAGAACATTTTTACATTATTTTTTTGGCAAATCTCATTGCAAAAAGAAAAAGATGAAATTGCAAACAGAAATGGGAAATTAAAATGATCAAAAGCGAAGCAGACAGATATATAGAAGATTAATGGGAAGCTTTTAAGATATAGTTTCCAATCCTGGCATAAYGAACTCTTTTAGATCAGCCTTGTTTCAGAGTTTAACCAAATTGAGTGGCATATTATATCCCATTGTTTATGAGGAGCAAATGTTAATCTATTATTTTGCATTAGAAGAAACAAATGCTTAATGCTACATACAACCACCATTTTGAATATAGATTTTAGAATGAAAGAATCAGATTTTAAGTCAAGTGGTATGAAAAATGAGGTTTGTGTCCAAAAATACAGTGCAATGATTTGAGCTTGAAAACTATTGTCTGTCGTTGGGTTTTCAAATGCTAGGTGTCCATGATTGACATCACTTGGTGCACAGTATCAGCACACTATAAAACCAGTAAAGAGATGCTTTCTGGTCTACAAATATCTTCTTCTCAATGGCTGGACATGACAACCAGCCAGCCACATCTGACTGATCAATATGTAACCAGTCAATGTGACCAGTCAAGAGGAGGGCCAAGGTTTATTAGAAGAATAGCTTTTGCTATTTAGTGCTACCCTCGGCAAATAAAGGAATTATTATTATCATTATTAATATTATTAAGAAGACCAAACTAAGAGACATCTGATGAGAATTTTGTTAGTGCAAGGCTTTGAGAAGTGATAAAAAGTTTCCTGCAATTTGTGTTGTTAATCTTTTCCTTGCAAAAATACAATATTTCTAAACTGACTTGCAAGAATCACCAAGTCATTTACACTTGAAAAAGTATCCACGACAACCAACACCATCGACTATAATTATTAAGTATGATTATATACCATGTTTACCCCCATTTTAGTTTATTATTTAACCCTCTTCTGTTGGTGGTAGTGATTGATGGTTTAATGATCATGAACAGAAGCCCAACTGGTGTAGAATGTTTAACAATACACCACATGACTGTGTATAATTGTATTGCATTTATGTTTAGACAATTTTATAAATTTATGCTTTAAGCTTGCAAACAGTGTATTAAAAATTATTATTTAAATAAAGATAATAAACAAATCAATAGTGTTGAAGTACTTTAAAGGAAGACTCAGCCATGGTCAGAGCACATGCAAGGGTGTTAGTTAGTTTATTCAAACAAACAAGATACAAAGGGAATACTTTCCACTAACAATTTGAACTCCTTCCATATTTCCATAATCTTATCAAAGAAACAGTCAGTCTGTTCAGTAAACCTATAGATATGTGAGCCAGAAACAATCGTAAACATTACTTTATGCACGTCGTCCAGCRTACCAGCAGTAGGAACACAAAAGAAGGTTTATTTAGCTTAGTTTGAGAGCCAGCATGGTTATGTGGAAACTTAAATATAAGAAATGTTGAACCAAAATGGTGGGAAAAAAGAAATAAGTGAGAGGAGAAATCACAAGGTTTTCATTAGGTTTCAAAAGAAAATTTATTTTCACTTGCAAATGGATTGTATTTTTCTTTGCTACACACTGATCAAGACAACAGTCACAAGGAGAAAACTGGGTAATTTACACTACCATCTATCAGAGTATGTAAAGGTACTGAACAATATCATATTTGATTGACTGTGGTCTTCAAATTTGTAGACCCTGTTTATGACAAAAGATATAACATATTGCACTGAGTTCCTGTTTCAATTATCATGTCATCTCGAGTATCGTTTTTTTTCGACCATGATAACCAGTTTCGGTCAATACAAAAGTAGAAACCCTGAGTATGACAAGAAACTCAGGAAGAACTTGGACCTTGAGTGAAATTGCATACCCTGTTTATGACAAGAAGCTCAAGAAACCATACCCTGTTCAGCGGATCATCCCCGTATAGTTCACATATGGGAGTACCCCCCCCCCCTCCCGGGTGGTCTTTTTCCCGATGTCCCTGTCTGCACTGTAACCTTGATCAACATTATAGCAATGAAAACAGTGTTAACATGTTTTGAAATGTGAGCTGGAATTTATTTTTGGTGGTGTCAATCAAAAATATTAATGACATAATTTTGATTGACAGTATATAAAGACTCAATGAAAAAGACAATTGAAAAAAATGTTTAAAAATGTTTTGCAAGAAATACTTTGATGTCTAATGAGAACCCTGGAGTGAAGGAAGGATTGATTTGAGTGACAAGCTGTCAAACTAAGCTAGTTTTGACCACGACATGGATTGTGTACAGTATGCTAACAGACCTGAAAAAACATCAACACAGTCAAGCATATAAAAAGAGGCAAAGATAGCTGCAGACAAAAATGGTGAAGAAATACGAAAAAGACAAATGCATGAATTAATAGACACTCATACACGATCTGGTATTAAGTTATCAAAGAAACAAGTTTTGTAAACTGAAACATTACATTACATTAACAACTTTATATACTTGTAACTCAAGAAGTGATCRCATTACAAGATCATAATACATTACTTTTACATATACATACACTTACACTATAAACAACCTGTATATACAACCTGTTACCATAACAACCACTTAACAACACTAACTGTAACGACTCTTAGGAAGTCAACCAATCAGAATGTAGAGTCAGAACAAAGCAACCTTACAGTTAGCCTAAGTAGCCACTCAAAGGGGTTTTAAGTTGCTACACAGCCTGCCTTACTGGTAGAGCGGATGCCATTAAACCGTGAAATAAAATCAAACTAAATACTAACTAATAGTATCTGTTTAGTGGCTAATAGTTGCTATCACTCAACTGGAACATTCATCATACAAAGACAAATCTTTTGTTTAATAAATGTTCTGGTTGAGTAATAGTGACTACTAGTCACTAAATACTAGATACTATTAGTTAGTATGAGAGTTGAGCGTTGTGTGCATAGAACATTATATTAATGTAGTGGTAGTGCGTGTGAGCGAAAAGTCCCCAATTAGTGCAAAAGCGCTAGAACGACTAGACACTTAAATAAGAGTGATTTATTTATTTTATTTAGTTTGATTTTATTTCATGGTTTAATTGCATCCGCTCTACTAGGTCAAACCTAACCCAATCAGAAGCAAGTATAAAGCCTAGACCTGATTATATCTGCGAAAAATCTTACAACTTAAGAACAACCATAAAAATGAGAGATAGTGACTGGCTGAAATGAAACTGATTCTGCTTTCACTTCATTCACACTCTACATCATGATTGGCTAACATTTCAATAGTGGTCTCGGTGAGTGTGATAGATCACATGCAACATAACAACATGAATGCATACATGCATTCACACTTGCAATACATTATGCTATTGCTATAGCAACAACATAGTGACAACTTTTATAATTACTTAAAAGTTACTTACACTATCTGTTGCCATAGTAACAATGGTAACAATACACACACATTGAACACAAAAAATGTACATTTCAACTTTGTTTTGTAATGGGGTTTAAATAATTTAAAACACAATGCTCGTTCATTAGTTTTGTCAAATTTATTTTTGGAAATGCTAACGCTCTTTTTTCTTTTTCTGGGTTTTAAGAAGTTTTATCAGTGTTATGCATATTTCATTTCATATTTTTTTTGGGATCATTAAAAAGTAACTCTTTCTTTCTTTTCTTTCATAGAGTTTTATACTCAAATTTATGAGAAACATTCAGGGTTAAAACCAAAAATATTTTACAAGGTTATGCAGCATATGAACAGCAAATTTTATGATGCCAACAGCAAACTTTTAACATAAAAAGAAACTTTAAAACAAACATAAAATGATTCATTTATAATTTTAAATTAAATTTTGGATTATTTTCCTTTGTTTATCCTTCATTGAAAAAATTCCCCCAGATCTCCAGCCTAACACGTCATCGAATAATAAAATAAAAATAAAAATAGGAAATGGGATGACTGAAATAAAGATTGTTGTTATTACTGAAATGTAATTTTGTTCATTTGTTACACATACCTTAAATAAAAGTTATGTTCATCTATTGCTTGTTGGCAGACGATTGGGATATCTGCAGCACATCTTTGATGGAACTTGTATCCACATGTCTGACATCTACCAAAAATGATACTGATTATCTTAGTATTGATTGTTTTCACAGCCACCATGTTGGATGCATTTAACAAAAGATTTATCATTAGTCTCTTTCATTATATCATCTAACATGGCTGCCATGTCTTGTGTTATTTCATTCTCATGGGAATGATTGAAAACCAGCAATATGACACTTAAAGTTGACTATATAGTCAATACTCCTTGGTAGGGCAGAACTTTGTTGGCAACATTAGAAGAATGTCACACTTAGTTTCGCAGCACTTCTCGATCACATGCTAAATCATACAATAAGCCTTGTGACGAAGGTTATGGTGGACCTCAAGCAAGACGTTTCCATGACATTCCATAGGCACGTACCCTTCAAAAGGTTTGTGTTTTTCGACAATGCCATGGAAACACTTTGATCGAGGTCCACCAATACTCTATTTTGTCAAGACAGAAAATTGTACAAATTATTTCATGCATGTGATTGAGAAGTGCTGATTGAAGGTTAAATAATTGCAATTGATCAGTGAGATAATCAATATGACATGTCCTTATCTCAATCTATAAGATAAATGCGTCCTAACTTTGATCAGCCCAAAGGCTGTTTCAGGGCATAGATAAAATTTGGAAGGCAATCTACATTATGGCACCATTAATTTTTTTTATACAACCAATTTACCAGAATGCTTCCCAAATTTTGATCCTTAATTGTTATTCCCTTGTGAGAATAGTAAGACAATTGGTGCTAATTAACTGGGCAAATCAATCCAGCAAAAGGATCCTGATATTGATCATTACCATATCATGCAAATGACCCATTTACTACCATTGCAAATTTTACTATAATTTATATTTTCTTTTTAAACACAAAGTATTTTACCTGAAGCCAGTGAATAAAAGTCTCCTACACTTGTCACAGAATGCTAAAGTAAAAAAAGTTTTCCGCATCTGCAGGACAAAGAGGTTTATAATGAGTCATAAATTGAAGGAATACAGTGTAAGATGTTGCAACACTATTTTAGGAATTAATGACATGTCACTAGAATTTAATTTATCATGGTTAAATGCAGTCTGCATCCTTAACTTCTATATTACAATATGCATGAAAAATACACATGAAATGAATTCTTTATATCTAGTGTCTAAAACCCAAGTACCATAGTGTTTGGATAGTCTTTGGCACATGTAATAAATGCATTACACAAAATAGAACTTGGTCTAGTTATATGATATATCCAACAAACTTACAAAATTATGAGATATACTGCTTGTTCTAGGAAGGTCATCAATCATTTCTACAGAAATCTAATAAAGCAATCGTATATTATGAATAAAGATGAACAATACCAGCTGTGTACAGCTTTAAAACATAATGGAACAGCTATTTATACAGCCCATACAATTTCCCCTGATGTCAGTTTATTCTGTCATGTATGCAGGAAGGGTTGTCTAATATTATTGGGAAGCACAGGTGGTGTAGTGGTGAGAGCTCTTGCCTCTCACCAATGCGACCCAGGTTCAAGTCCCTCCGTGCTCGGTGTTGTATGTGAGTAGAGTTGCTTGTTGGTTCTCTTCTGTGCTTTGAAGGTTTTCCGGGTTCTCCTGTTTTCCTCCCTCCGCAAAAATCAACATCTAAATTCCAATTGGAATTACAGTGGATGAAGAGCCACTCTGTGGAAATGCCACTGCTAAATCCTATTTATTTATTTTATTTATATTACCATAATTTATATATTTTGTACAATATCTCAGAATGTGAATTCAAAATGTCCTGTATAAATCAAAATAAATGTCTGGAATTGTGGCTGGTTACACTGGCTTGTTTATTATTTTTGAATTATTCGCTTACCTCTTCTCCCTCTAGGTCATAGAGATCTGTATCCCATGGAATAATATCTCTAATAAATAAGAATATTTACCGTTGATTAGTAATTACGATTATTCACTGATGGAAAAGTCATCATTGGTGAATATTATTTTAACGATGCACAAGTTGACAAATGACTATTTGAAAGAAAATATACAACATTGGTTTTATTTTTAAATGTATATATTTATTATCAAGAAATAGTCAGAAGTTCTTGACTGGAGCTCATAGGTCTTATTTTAGTATCAACCTACTAATTGGTCAAATAAATGGATTAGATTGAATGTTAAAAATATTTCACTATTGACAATGTAACTTCAACTAAGAATGTGCAGTTTTGAAAAGGGGTAATTAAGGAAGCTAACATCTCTTTCTTAAACAATGACGCCAGTATGCAATAAACTTAATCCACTTTTGTTCCATATTGAGATGACATCATTTCCTTGAGTATTATTTCTTTGTTTACCAATAACAGGGATACGTTATATAAAATTATTACATCTCAAGTCGCATGAAGCCTGTTCTAATGATATTGCTAAGTCTACATCACAGGGCTGTATTCTTGGACTGGTAAAATATCACCTTAGAAACCAAAAATTAATATAGAATTTGAACAAGATGAGCCAAAAAAAGCCTTCTGTTTTCAAAGATAGGGCCACCTAGTGTTTGAAGTTGATATAAACCTAGTTACCTTAACAATCCCTGGAATAGCAATAACCAAGATGTAACTATTTATAGAAATTCTATAATGAAAACCGTTTGGCCCCAAAATGTCATACATAATTATTATTTCAAACATTTATTTAATGGAATCATGTGAAACAAAGTTAGATGACCCTATTACTTGTATGATCATATTTATGAAATATTTGAAATATAACGTGCATATTGGTTGGCTGGATATCATTTTTATATCAGAGGACAGAGACACACTTACACGAAATCTTTCAAAAATATCTTATAAAAGCAATATAAACATGTTGGGAGCTGTACGTAGATCCCAAGAAAAGCAAGCTTAGGAGCACAAAGCATAGCAAAATGTTTCTCTTCATTTTTGAGTGCTCTACACCTGGGGGGGGGGGGGGGGGTTTTCCTCCGCCAGAATTTGGGTAGGGGTGATCTGTTGGGATTCTGAAAGGGGTACCCTGTTTATGACAAAAAAACTCAAATTTGTAGACCCTGTTTATGACAAAASATATAATTCATTGCACTGAGTTCCTGTTTCAATTATCATGTCAGCTCGCATATTGTTTTTTTTGATTACCATAATAGCCAGTTTCGGTCAATATGCAARTAAAAACCCTGAATATGACAGGAAGCTCAGGAAGAACTTGGAACTTGAGTAAAATTGCATACCCTGTTTATGACAAGAAGCTCGATAAACTATACCCTGTTCAGCGGATCATCCCCGTATAGTCCATGTATAGGAGTACCCCCCCGGGGCTCTACAGCTCCCAGATTGTTTATATATCACAATATATAGACATAAGCAATGCTTTAATATCACAGTACAGAGACATGTGCACATACTAATAAGCCACACTCATAATCTTACCTGCTTTCACAGTGAAATATCAAACAAGTTTCTGGCAATATCCCTCTTGTCCTCATTCTCTTGTCCAAAGCTTCTCTAAGTGTCACTTCTAACTTACATTTAATCTAACCAGAAAATAATATAGACATGTTAATAATGTAAATGAGATTTGAATGTAATAATATAGACATGTTTATAATGTAAATGAGGTTTGGATGTTTGGTGAGGTATTTGGGATATTGTGCATAAAGACAGGCAAGCCAAGGGTAAAAAAGAAAGAACAATGTTGGAATATAATAATAATTAAGAAATATATAAAATGATAATGATGATGATTATAATAATATTATCAAACTCATTAATAATTTATGAGGAAAACACAAYAGAAATCATGACCGTGAAGAGTGTTGTAAATCTGATACAAAATTGTGTTCATTTGCATAAATTTTAAGTTGGATTTTCTTGGCCAAATTCACTTTAATTTTGAAAATTTTAGTGAAACACAAAGGAACTAACCTAGACGTCATATACAGTATGAGTGGCCGTGTTGTATCAGATATACAATCACTCGGCTACGCCTCATGGTTGTATATCTGATACAACACGGCCACTCATACTGTATATATTACATAATGATTATGATTACATAATGATTATGATTACGAGGGCAGGGGAGCACCCCAAAAAGTGTGTATGGGGGGAGGGGAAATAGTGAGGGGCCTAAAGCCCCCCTTGCCCAACCCTTTCCACAGCACCTGGATCTTATACAATTATTATTATCAGCTCCAAATCTTATACAATAGCTATTATCATCATCATCATCATTATTATTATTACTTTCATCTAAGTTATATGAGTCAAGTAGAATACTATAAAAAAGTTTCCATTATTATTATTATTATTATCATTATTATTATTAATACCAGCTATAGAATTAATAAGAGTATTTGAGTGACTATTTGCCTATGATATTACATGGTTTTTGAGAACATGCAATACAATATTTTGTACGTAGTATTTGCCTGTCATTGCTAACTGAAGATTTAACCAGCTGATTGATACTTCCCTTCTCTTGCCTAAGGAAAACTTATTTTTAACCAAAAATAACCAAAAATAAGTTTATAAATTTGATTGCTAATTGATTTTCCTCATCATTTAAAACTACACCCTTTAAGCAAATGCTAATAAAAGCCAACTTTTTGGAAACATCTCATAACCTTATTTTCAAGAAGGATGAAAATTCACATTAACTCAAAATAATAACATAGAAATATATCTTTAAAAAGCCAATCTTAAAAATAATACATCAAATGAATAACTTTAATAAACAAAGAAAAGATGTTAATTTACATAAGATCAAGACATCAAGAAATGCATTTGCATAAAAGTAATAAAAGTATAAAAACCAACATTTAAAAAACTTCGAGTATAAACTGATTATCTGAATACAGACAATTTTATGGATAGGTCTAGCAACAGAAAACAACCCCATTATATGTAAACAGTAGACGTATTTCTAGACAGTTTCAAAGCTTAATTGTATGTCAGTGATCACAACCATGTATAATAGAAAACTATTAGAGTTTTGTGTTATTATTATTACAACCTAGTTATATTTCCATGCATAAATGACATGAATCAATCAATATTTTTAAATATAAAATTTATAAGTAGTACTGTAGTATGTTATAATGTTTTTGATGTCAGAAAGTAACATCATTCAATTAGCAGGCTGATAGATTTCAGTGTTACAACTAACACTTAAATGGAATATATTCCCGATGTATTTTTATCAGTAAATTACGCTTACCATTGTTCTCTGATGATTCGGTAAATAAGCCCTCACATGAGCTCGTAATGGAGGAGAAGTTGGATTGTCAGTAGCGTAGATATTCCGTGAACTTAGAGTCGGTGAAGTTGGACCAGAAGACGACGATGGTGCAGCGCTTGAACTAGTCGAACTTGGCGCACCATTTCTACATTCAAGCAACTGTTTCTCCCGAAATTCCAGTTCAGAAAGCTTACTTGTTAATTCATTATACTCCTGCAAAAGGCAAAATATAGTTTATTCATTGCGATGATGAAAAATGCTATGAATAAGCTACAGTATTAGACGCAACAGCCACCAATCAAGCAACTGGCGTACCGGGTTCATTTAAATCTTTCAATCCATTTAACCAAAATAAAAGCTTGTTAGCGCTTTCAACACGAGGGATATTGTCTAGATCTCACATGCGAAAGGCCCTACTTATATCTAAAAACATTTTTTTCTATTGAGTTCGTCTTTTGGTAAATATAAAATTATTTGACAAAGACCAAATGATTAAAGTCGGTCGGTGAACGTCACTTTCTTGAAAAACAACATAGCCATGGTTTATGATATGAAGAATGAATATACGAAATGGAAATAGAAAGATTCTGAAAAAAGATAACTACTTGAAAAACATTAGGTTACATAGTTATTCAATGATCTTATATGATCGCATAAAATCAACACAAGCAAAAAACTTATATTCAAATTCGAGGCGATCAAAGTCGTCAACGATAGAGAAAAATATCCATTCACRCCATGAGATTTTTACACCACTAATACGGATATTTTTGACTATTTTTCACAGTAAAACTTTCAAACATGCAGACTATAAACTGGTAGTAAATATATTTATATATTTTTGCTTTTTTTAACGTGAGAAAGAAATAATCTGAACTCTAGCGTTGTAATATTTCCAGAAGTTACTAGATAATTTTTGCAAATATAAGACAGTTACACCATCAAAATAATGCACCGATGATAAAAATGAACAAAAACACACAATTATTAAAAATAGTAATTTGGTGAGAATATCTCGTCATTAAGACAAACATAAATTTAAAGCTCCGTAATTTAAAGAGTGGCGAGCTGGAATGGAAATTGAATTTGTTGGAGATAATTTTTGGAAATGTAAATGAGATTCGCATGAAAATAGCCTGCGAAAAAATAATCTAGTCAGTTAATTAATAATCCTAGGAAAATTATTCCTTGTAGGGAAGATAAGGGATGAGTTCAACTGCACACTTTGTAGACGCTTTGCAAGAAAAAAAGCCATTATCAAATGAATAAAATCAAAACCTCTAAGATGATCGACGGAGGATGTTGAATGTTCGAAAACTGGGCATTCAGCTTTTCGAGGTTCTCTTTAGTAAGTCGAATAACATGCTGTACTGTTCTGACCTGCAAAAACGAAAAAGAAAGGATATTGAGCGTCAGGTCTGCTCGACCCGGGAGTTGACTACCTCACCATCAAAACAAAAACACCGACTCTCTTCTGCACGAAAAATCAACCCTCAACAAACTCCACACCAAGCACGACAACGACCATCTCTAGACCTCTAGAAAACCGGCTGATGGATACTTAAGGCTTGGTAGAGTACCTCAGAGTCGTGGTTGTTGGAAATATCGATGTCAGGTTCGTTGTTTAGTAATAAAGTGTCTTGGTGAAGAGAGTTAGCCACCGCCATCATGAACACTGCTTGGATGAACAACACAACATCACGTGACTAGACCCACAAGAACTAACCATCTCGATAGGGATTATGGGTAAGGAGCGCATAGTCCTGGTAACAGACTCGTCAACGGAAGTCACGGAAGTGACTTTAGAAACGTAGACCGGAAGTCAAAAGGCCATTTAGGAAATAAAGAGAATGATTGATGACACACACAGACAGTCTACAGAAAGGATATTAGACGAGGCGGGCAGAGTGTCTAGACTCACAATAAAGCGCTACTCGATGCGAATCATGGGTAGACAACCGCGTAGTCCTGGTATTAACAGCACCCACAAACAGACTATCGACTTTAAAATTAAGGTCCCTTTTGGAAAACATATAAAATAAAATTGYAGCTTGGTAGCACGTACATACACACCTGCATGCATAAGGAATGCATTAGACAAGCAACTAGCACGGTGACACGTGAGTAACACGTAAGTAACACGAAAGGTACACGCATCTCCGAATATGGGTGTACAACCGCGTAGTCCTGGAAAAACACAGTTCAGCGGAAGTGTCGAGGAAGGGACCGGAAGCCACAGAGATACCGCTTCCAGTAGAAGAACGAAAATGAATGATTGTTTGCACGTTGGGCTGAATTGAATAAGATATTGTCACGTTTTCTTCTTGCGTGTTCCTTCTTAGTTCAGATGTTGATATTGGCTTTGATCCTATAACTGAGTGCAGAAGATTGTCGGTGTCTTTAGCCACTAACTTAATTGAACAGCAGTTTAGACTATTCAAAACAAAGTAGCTTTGCATTCGAAATTTTGATCAGCAATTGCCGTCTGATATTTCACCGTGAAATACGTCTTTAATCAATAGTTCATAAGTCTACTGTATCAGGATTAAGACCTCTTCTCAACCCTCCCCCATGGGAAGAAAGTGTGGAAGCAAGAAGCTAGACTAAGATTCATATTAAAGGCGTTACTGTATCTGGTGTATAACCTCTTCTAACCCCTCCCCTATGGGAAGAAAGCGTGGAAGTAAGAAGACTAACATTCATATAAAGACATTTGTCACCCCTCCCCTATGGGGAGAAAGCGAGGAAGTAAGAAAATGCACGTTATAAGGAACAACGAAAATAAGTCCGCATTTTGAAGAGCGAGAATACCCTCTTCAGCAAATGAATTTTACTACAGAACTGCTGAAACCAACACTAGTTAAAAGCAATATAATAAATTGTATTTTATAATTGTAGAAAGAAAAAGGACGGATTAACAGATGCAATATAAAACACATTAAACATGACGCACAGGAAGATCCGGTTCATCAATAATATCCCCGCCTATGAAGAACTGAATATTATTATTGCGTCGAGAGAACTGCACAAATGGCGATGGCAGCTGTCTATGTATTTCAAGTACATTTTCCTGACTAAAAAGGATCGAAATGGATGCATTTGGTTGTAAAGGAAAACAGAAAGCACTCTGTAATATCCGCCAAGACGATAGAAGACACTCTGCGATGTTTTATTAAAAACAGAACGAGAAACAACCCATTCTTCGTCTAGCTCGTTTTTATGTTACACATTCAAAATAATGTATTCAACATGGCAGAGGGACCGTCAATCTCGTACCCAGAGCCTGCGTTTCTTCTGGCCTGCAGCGAAAAACGAGGGTTCTGGCATAATCCATATTTTGAGACCAGGATTTCTTGGACTTCCGGTTCAAGAGCGCATGCGTTCAAAGACTTGCCAAAATTTAAAAATATTTTCCCGATTTCTAGTTTTTTCTATGATCTTTACTTTAACTTTTACTTCGATTTTTGCTTTGATTTAATTTTTAATTTGATCATTTTGATCGGTTATATTTCTCTTTTTCGAAAATTGCGCATGCGCCAAAAAATGGATTATGCCAGAGCCCTCGTTCTTCGCTGCAGGCCAGAAGAAACGCAGGCTCTGGGTACGAGATTGAGGAACCGCTAGTGAGCACTGAGCATGCGCACACTGAAAAAAAAATAGCGCGCCAAAATATATAATATTAATAACTATCGCGGAGAAATACAGTCCTAAAATCACAAATCATTGATATGATGTGAATACCAATAATATTTAAATAATCATACTTTAAATACTACGTATGTCTGTAACTGATGGAATCTGCTGTTAAAGTTGTTTAAACAAAACTCTTTTTAAAACGTTCAGTCCTACATTTAAACAAGGAAATGTCTGAGGCGTTGTGCGACCTAAGGCCGTTTGAGGATGGCTCTGGTTGGAGGTAAGGCGTAATGAAGGCACGAAGAAAGATCCGCCTTGATTTTGGCAAACGTATTAGCACAGAGAGCATTCATGTGTCTGAAATGATTACGGGCATAATGACTTTACTCTAATGATCATCTAGGAAGGAAGGCAAATTATCGTTCATAGATTTTAGAGTCTGGAAACTTTTAATCCTTAATCAATAAGTCTGGAACGTGTTACCGAACTACTTTAGCAGCTGGATTGATGGCTTTGCGTAAGAATATGCATGGAAAATATAATCCCACTGCCTATATGTCTCCTCTAATCTTTCTCTATGTATTCCTTCCTTCCCTCCATTTTCAGTTGACAGAGAGCTTGAAGTGCAGTATGAAAATATAATTCATCTTCGCGCGCAATTTTATTGTATAGTAGAACCTTCAGCATAATATATATCAATACTGCTGCATGCAGTGTAATACATGCAACCGATTCTCTATCTGCAACTTGCAACTGTGCGCGACACAAGCACTGCATGATTTTCCTAACATTACTTGTCAAGAACGTGATTATCTATCATCACTTTCCCAACCATTGTACTTAGGGTTTGTTCATCTATTGTTCAACATGTATCATAGCATGAATCGTTTCAAGTTTCAAAGCTTACCTTTGCGATGAGGAACTGTCGATTCCGCTTCGGTCGTGGTTGTTTGCTTCTTCGCCTAAAATACCAGCCCTCGATTGTCTTGCAGTTTCGTCCAAAAATCTTCTCTCTTTCCAGATGCGGTTTGTACTCTCCATGGCGCTTGTGCGGACGAGGGAATCTAAATGAGGGCTTTGGCGACGAAGAGGGAGGTTGAGGAGGAGGTGGAGGATTGTATGGACCCTCTTCTGAGCCAAAGCAAGTAAAAAGCGTCATCTGGAATAGACGAGGAAAAAAAAAAAAAAAAAAAAAAA